AAGACATAGTTTTGCCTGTTATGAATGTCTAAAGAGGATAAGAAAATGAAAAAAAATCACCATTTTATTTAACGATCTTCCTCAATTGTTGACATCACACTGATAAAGGAAGATTTAGAATCCCTGCCGCTTGCCCAAAGAATTAACGGCTATGCAGAATTGTTCTAAATTCTCTGTCTTCTCCCTCTCAACTCTGATCTTTCAAAAGATCTTTTGGGGCATATTCCAGAATAGTACTGTCCTATGGGACAGATCCTACAGTTAATTTCAAAAAGTTTGCATCAGGAAGTTTGCATCAGGCTACCCTTCTAAAAAGGCACTACAAAAGGTACAACCATTTTTACTAAGAGTTCTTACTAAGCATCACATGGAAAGTCCTGCCTTATTGAGAATGAAGGATTACAAACAAAACCAGAGATAATGGTAGCAGTATAGAATAGAATTCCAGCTACTGCAGTTCAGCTACTAAGTTGTATCCTGTATATTTATTCACTGCCTATTGTATGCTGCTCTAGTGCCAGCACTATTAAAGCCGTCCACTTAGCACCAGTTGTAGATTTAGACACAGGCCTGTTCCTCCACTGAAGCACTTATTGTTTAATTAATGACAATTTCTATTGTATGAATTAAATAAAAAAGATGTCACCGAACTGCACTACTAAGGTCCTGCATGCTATTGCGAGAGCATGCTTCATAAAGAGCACACAAAGCAAAATAATGAATTACATTTTTCGTATTAAAAATAAATTAAAACAGAAATATAAATACAGAGCTGTATTAAAATTTGGGTTTGACTTTTTTAAAAAGCATCAGCCCAGTAAAACTCACAGAACTACAATGTACGACACAAGACGGGGATGATACCACAGACACCACAGACATGGAACAGCATGTGTTGGTGTTAAAACTTACAGGCACGTAAACTGGTGGAGCAATCATTAACAGAGACAGAAGAAAGTGGGAAGGCTCTCTCAAGGGTGTCCATGTTACTATGTACACTGCCTGACATGCAAGAGCAGTCACGCTCAGAGCGTCCGCAATCAAAACAACATGCCAGTTTCATTCTCTTGTAGATGGACATCTTGGCTATAACCATGTGTTGGATGGGAGGAGAGGAAGAGCAGCAGGTTAATGGCAAGGTTATATATATAACAAGGCAGCTGGAAGGTAATTTAAGGGATTTAATACAGGCCTTAGTTTACGATAACAGTCTTGACCCAGGAAAAAAAAAATGCAATGAGATTATTGATAACACTTTGGCTGTACATTAGAAGTAGGGCAAAAGATAAATTGCTCTTTATTTCTGTTCAGTCTTATAGGGTGACCGCAGACATGGGGAAGAATTACTGTTTACAGTCAAGTGTTTGGATCAAAAAAGAACATAGTAAAAGCAGAGAATCCTAAGAATATATTTTTCCCTTGGCACAATTAATACTACTGGGCTAAAATGAAAAGAAAAATCTGAAGTTGCTAATCCATTAGATATTTTTGGCCTATCCCGCTTCCTGTAAAAATCAAAGACTTTTATATATCTCTATATATATGTATGTATACACACACAAAAACACACATACACATATATTCTTACATACACACACTCACACACACATACACGTTATACACATACATACATATATATACATATATATAAATATATTTATTCTTAAACATATGCTAATAATTTCTCTGTATTAAACTGTGCCAGGGAACTCCTTTATTGCAATAAATGACACATTACTAAAGAGTTACAAGATGTTCATAAAATTTTCTGAAAAATTTACTTCATTTACATTATATCTTCAGGAATTCAAATTAACTCTTGACAGAATACCAAAATTTGCCCATATAAGAGACACAACTAATAATGGTAAATATGCTTGACATCAAAATCAGTTCACAAATAAGGCATCACCAAAAGCACACAGAGCATTGGTCCACTGAAACATGCTGAACCAATCGTCGGCACGTTTTCTGCTCTAGATTCAAGGCGGATCGAGAACCAAACAGCTGAATGTAGAATTAGGGGCTAATTCCAAGAGGAGTGCCAGGCTAGAACAGAACATTTATATCCTTCAGGCATGGGAACGTCCTTGTTATATAGGTCTAGAAATATACAGCATCCTGTTTTATAACTGCATGTGTAATTACCATCGTGCAATTGTGTATGTTACCTGCATCACGGGTACGTTTAGGCCTGAAGAAATGCAAAGGCCACTTAGATTGTTTCACATGTTGCACTGAACCAACGCTTTTGGTAATGGTTTAGATTGAACTGACTCAATTATACTAGAAACAAAACAGAACACTGACAGGCAAAAACAAAACCTTAAAAGCAAATGCAGAAAAAAGGTAATGTTTCTCTGGCCTGTACCTTCAGTTTAGGATGTCTTTTTTGCATTATGGTAATGACATTAAATTTTAGATGATTTCTCTTATTTTTTTCCCAGTTTCTTAATGCCACAGTCACCAGGGAAGAGGGATTGAAATCGCTCAAATGGGTCAAGTCCTGTTCTAAGGCCTTGATGACTTGCCATACAGTATACTTGTCAAGCAAGGGTAACATTATGATTGTGGAAAACAGGCATTGAGGGAGATGAATGAGTGATCTCTTCAGCAGCGACTCCATTCCTCTAAAACTTTGCTCACATGACTAATGCCATGTTCTTTTAGCATCCTAGTAGAGTTATCTTACAGCTGTTCAGAAAGTCATCATGCAGCATCAGGCTTGTTCATTGCATGGTACATCATTCCTCAGAGCTTGGCTTTTAGTAAGAAGGTTTCCACTGCAGCTTTTGATGCATACACATTCAAACTACACAGAAAATTCAAAACAGCGTTTGTTTTCCCATGGTTTCCCTCTGTCTAACTCTTCCCAACACATTCTTTAAAATTGAAAAGTTGGGCAGAAAAAGAAAAGTGAAATCTGTTACCAAGAATGTGGAAGTCTTTCCATTATGCCTATTTTATTGTTTTCACTTTAAGGAAATGAAAGAAAAATAAAGGGCATTTGTGAGACACACTAACAGTAGGTGAGGTAAAAGGCAGGCCCATTTTGTTTTCATTATAGCTGTTTTGAAGGACTTTTTCTAATCAAATGCTGTAGCAAAACACACTGCTCAGAAATTCTCAACTGCTATGTCATTGGTTAGTAACAGTCCCTGGTTTTCATTTACTTGTAGCCATATCTTGTCAACAGTCAATAATAGGATAGGACACATTTATGAAAATTAAAAGAAATCATCCTTAAGGGCAAAGAGGGTTGGGAAGGGAAAATTTTTTTGTACCATTTTCATCAGACTTAAACCAATGAGGTGGGAAATTTAAGCCCTTCTGTTCAACAGGGGAAGGACTCCATGGCGCTTCTCAAAAGCAATGCCCTTTCAGGGACTGTTTTTAACTATTATTATCAGTTGTTCTGGAGATCATGCATCATTTTAATATTTCACATCATTAACATGCAGGAAACAGGCTTGGACCTGGAAATATAAGTAGCAGAAAGGACTTGCTATAAGGGTTTCAACCAGTATATAAGCAACTGCATATCAGAGCAATACATTTCGGAAAGAAAACATGCTGTTACTCTTCATTCCTTTTATACAGTCATTGTTACATTCATACCAAATACAATACTTATTTTCTTTTAAATAAAACAAAACATGGATTATTAGTAGGGATGACTAGTGACAAGATCAAAGACAAAGACAGAAATGATTTTAAATGGTTCAGCCACACAAATACCATTTCCTAGAAAACTTCCATAAACATTAACAAAAAATGGGAATCATCAGAGAGACAGGGGGACCTTAAGAACAGCCTCTGGGTGGGTGTTAAATTCATTTGACACCTGTAGCACCTGCATAAGAATCAACTCATTTCTATTCATAGAAATGTTATGGATGTTGGATAGAACTGTTATGGATGTTGGATAGAATTGTTATTTGCAACTAGTGAAAATGTAAGTTGGGACATGAAGAAAATTACTTCCCTATTTTCAATTGAATAATAGATGGACAAAAAGGAAGAGCAGATCCTTCTACTTAGGATGATGACAATCCCACAGCATTTGTAAAACGAATTAGTAAAAATATCAGGGGAAGTTATCATGGACACGGAAATCAGACTACTTAAATAATTTACGGACAAAACAAGGCATATATGAACTAGTCATTTTCTGATTTGTTAAGAGCAAAAGGAAAGCAAAATTTCTGTCAATTGTTTATAAAGTAAATCAATACTTTAAAAAACTTTTTTTGTTGCAATTTTTCTCAGAAGGCAGCAGCCTTCCATTCTAATAAGGAAGGAATGTGCCTTAGATGTCTAAGCTTCTAGCAGTACCTTGCTTTCTGATCTCAAAAACTCAAAAAGTCCAGTTAAAATTTCTAGATTGTCTGAATCTGAGGTGTTACTTAGAGTTCACAAACAGTAATGGGAAATAATTCCAGCTGCAAAAATAAGCAAAGGAAACTGCAGATTATTCTCTACCTAAGATGCCAAGGAACAGCTCCTTTTTTTAAAAGCAAGCAGAACAAAGTCTCCCTTCATCTTTGCTGATTTTCTTTTCTTTTTTTTTTTTTTTTTTTTTTAACCATACAGTCTACCCAATCCTGGCATTCCACCCATCACTAGAGCAGTTTTCCTGTGACCTCAACGGTAACAAAAAGTAGATCTACGAGGACATCTAGTGGATCTCTATGAGGTTACAGCTGGTTAAGAAGATGATGAACTGGAGGTTTCTTGACCAGCAAATGGTAAAAAAAGGTCCCACTACACTTAAGAATTGAAATGCATACAGTGTCATTTCAATTCATCAAGTTCTCATGATCCTCACTATGAGGAAAATAACAGCAGCATTAAAGGACGACCAGACTGATTTGATCGCCTTTTAGCAATGCTGGTTAGCATCATGAGACTGAAATATTGAAAGGACTTCCCCCGGCACAATTTCAGTTTCCTGAAAAATACAGCAGCGTATCTTAAACTGTTTGTGAGAGTTTATTTTCTCTTAACACAACAGGCAAAGCTATCTCTCCGTTATTTATTTTTTACAGAACAACTTCAAGACCACCAAGTCAGCTTGTTCACTGTCTTGCAATTTTTGCAATCAAAGGCAATTGGTTAGTGGTTTGCTATAATTCATACGGTGCTGTTCTTTGTCAAAACTGTAGAAACAGCAGGTGACCTGAGTGGACGTTTTGCCCTATTTTAGTAGCTATAAGAATGACTCACAGGTTTTGAAGTAATGGCACATTTATAGACCAATTCATTTTAATTTGCAAATCTGATCATGACCTTTCCTTCATTACCTTAAAGAAGACTCTCAGCCAGCGTGCTCTCAAAGCTAACTGCATTTCTGAACAAACTGAAGCTATTGGGGAAATGGAAAAAACCAAGCCAAAGCCACATGACTTTTTCTTTTTTAATACTCTCTTAGCATAAAGAGCTCTTTTATTTGTTTATTTATTACTATTTAAACTCATTTCTCTGGTCCAGAAAGGCCTCAACATAGCAACATATTTACAATAAATACATTGCTTCAAATAAATCCAAATTACTTCCAGTATTTTGCCTCCAAGTCAATAGGATTCATCATTTTATCCATAGAAATTAGTTTCTTTCTGGTTTATTATTAAGTATTGATTCTTATCATGCTGACCTGTTCACAATCTGCTTTTCTGTGCTGCCCCATCTTTCTGCCTTGTCACTCTATTGGCTGAAAATAGATCTCTGGAGAAATTTCTGTTCTCTGTTTGAATGCTTTCTACCACAACAGGATCTCAAATCCTTTAGTGTAGTTTGCGGGCACCACAATAAGATAAATAGTAAATAATGGTAATCATAATGAAGGCCATCACAGTTCCAAGATGGCTAGCACTTTATCTTGCAACTCCAGGAGTGTCAGCTTTTCCTTGATTCTTTGCAAGATCCTATGGTGTGTACAGCTGAGAGGGGAAAAAATATCTCAATCCTGATTAAGACCTGAAGTGTTATCACACAATAAATTCGGAATATCTGGTGAAATGTTGAAAAAGTCTCATAGCCTCACTTATTTAGAAGAGCTGCAGTTATACGGTATGGTTAGCAGTCTCAATCTGGTACAGTAATGCCTCACTGCAGCTATGAAATATTTGATCCCTTTTGCTGTTTGAAAGAACAAGCCCGTATAATGCCAACACTGCCCTACAACCAGTACGTTTCTTTGCAGTGCTTGTCTTTCTAAGTAGCAAATTATTTCCATGTCCCAAATGCTGTGTTTATTTAAATTATCACAACGGTACACACTGAAAGTGGCTGACGAGAGCCTTCACAGATTCTGTACACTTTAAAGTGGTATGATTTAGATTGACATGAAGTGGTCTATAAAGTTCATATTCTATATATAATAATAAAGTAAAACTTTACAGCTTGGGTCCTGAAAAGTCAGTGTGGCTCTACTCATGTAATTAATTTCAAAACAAGCAAGCTGGGGAAAATAATCACTGTAGCTTGTTTCCTGTCGAAGATATCTGTAGTTTATACATTAGAAGCTAGCCACCCATTTAATTCATTGTCTGGCTTTACCCCCATCTCCTTTTTTTTTTTGCCGATGGGGAGAAAGGAGTCAGATCAGGACAGCAAGAGACTGCTGTGTTGCTTTTTGTGACAGCTATGCAATGGAAAAGACAAAGTACAAAAAAATTGAACACGGGTCTGGCAATGAATTGCGCTTAACCAGGCAAACAGTGCTATAGTGGTAATTACCCCAGCCTAACCGATATCCCTAAAAATTCATGAGCTATCTCTAGAATCGTTTCAAGGAAATGCCATTGCCAAGATCTCATTTCCAAATCGGGATAAAAAATAAGGTTGTGGAAAAAAAAGGGGCAAAAAGGTGGAAGAGGGGAAAACTGCTGTATTTTCTTCAACGTCACCCTAATCTCCGTGGGTGTAAACGATGAGAAACTTGTGGGTATGACGTCACTGCTACATGCAACATAAATAAAGAAAAGAACCAAAATACTGAACAAAAATACTCTCTGCTAGAGAAAGACAGGTTGGACCGCACTCTGGGCTACAGGGAACCCATTTTTACTCACAATAGATCACTATCAGTGTGCAGTTAAAATATAGTAGGGGCCGTGTTCCAAGGCAGCAAGAGGAAAAATAAATCAAAAGTTTGTCAATTGTCATAGATTACAAGAAATTCCTTCAAACACATCAATGTACACATGATATGTCCCCTCTGGGGTTCAACCCCCACCATTCACAGCAAGCACTGTCACTGGAAAAAATATATAGAGAATTAGAGCATAGCTGTTGCACAAAATGAAAGAAACAGGAGGAGCAGGTCATCCAGTTTAGAGATACCATCCCAACGTGGCTGCATTTTATATAAATATATACATGTATTTGGCCCCTTGCTGCAAAAACTACAGTTAAATGGAATAGGAAAGAGATTGAAAACATTAAAAAAAATATTAACAATCTGTGAATAAAATTTCCACACAAGCATTTCTCTGGACAGTGTGACATCAGCATTCATATGTTATTCAGGGCGTGGGATGGGCAAGGAGAAAGGGATGGCAAAGAAACTGCAAAAGGAAAGCGAGGTTACTTTAATTATCCCTGGCCTTGTGGAAACGTACTGATCTGCCCTGATTATTAATATTAGGCCTAACAGGTTTGGACAAATGGCTATGTAGGTCAGACTCACGTTTAGACCCCAACAATACCACGAGCTAATGTTCAGACAGTATCTAAACTGATGTGCAACCTCAGATGCATTATTTAAAGAATGTGGTTTTCAAGTGTCACGGGAAGCTGCATTAATTAATGCCACCATAATTAAGTTTTCCATGTAAAGATATTCTTTCACATTTAATTCACCTGAATGTGTCAATATTTTTACATACAACCTTTCATTTCATCTTACATATTTTCCACATTCAGCTGCCTCTAATTGCTATGTTACTCGCTAATTAAAATATATATTTATCATATAGGACTACATATACTCGTGTGTGACTATTTGCAGTGTCTTTGAAAATCAAATTGACATATTAGCTGTTGACGGATCAGTTGACAGTTTCCTAATTCCATAGGGCAAGAAGTTTTCTTAATTTATGCTTTGTTTTGGTTAGACTGTATTTTTAAGACCAATGATTTGTGTAGCTTACAGATGGATAACATAGTTAAGATTTTCAAAAGTGATTAGTGATTTGAAAGCTAAAGCTAAGACATTTTTATGTGAATAATAGACTGCACTAAAGACTTACCTTTAAAAAGAATCAGGTCCCATAAAAGGGATCTCAAGATTGTCATCAAAATTTGAGAGACCAAAAATCACTAATTACTGTTGAAACTTTTCATTTAAATTTTTTGCTGATTGACAGAACTTCAAAAAGCAAAGCAACTGTATTATTCCTAATAGTTGTGAGCATGCTCCTAAGTGGAAGCTGTTCTCAGCTGCACTGAGAGCTGCCAGGTATCGTGGTACCTGTGACCATATGCATGTGTATGTAGGAAGGGAGGGGGGAGAGGGCAAATGGGGGGGAGAGGGAGAGGGGAGACAATGAAAGGGAAATTTAAGATTTTACTCTCACTGACCTTTTTTTTTTTTTCTTTTTCACCTGACTCAGAGGATTCCCTCCTCAGTGTTCAGTGCTCACTGCAGCAGCTCTGACAGCCGCCTCCTTCAGCCTCACTAACCCCATCATTTTGTTTCTTCATCTGTCCAACACCCTTTCATTTAGTGGACTGATAGGTGTGACCATGCCGTTTGGAACACTTCCTAGTGCCACACGCAGCAGTTGTCACTCTCGCCTCTCCATGGCCCTACTGCTGGTAATATATCCATCGTGTTGCCTGGGTCACAGGATACTCTGTTTTCTCCCTGGTTTCCTAGTACTGAGGAGGCTACACTGATTTTCATTAACGTATAATAAAGGGCTCTTGCCCCTTATACTGTGAATTCCTGATTCCTAGCTTCCAACAGATTTCAATGAAAAGCGTAGATCTCGCATTAAAATGACAGCTCTTTGGGAATTTATTTTTTTTTCTAATCAGCACGTGTGAAAAGCATACACTATGTGAAGGAAGAGTAGAGAAGAAAATACAAATAGAACAGGACTTTTTTGACAGACTCAGATAAAATTAAACAGGTAACATATTTCTCTTTAACTGTTGCGTAATTTGGAAAAAAAGATTGGGTTTGAGAGTTACAGGCACCCCGAGGCATCTGTAACTGGCTTTACCAGAACTTACTCGGCAGGCTCATTGGCTTTGGCAGCAGTTCAAAGGGCACATTCTCACGTGGATAAACTGTTCTTGAACAATTTTTTTCCAATATGTTAGGCAACGCATACATTCCTTCCACATCAGGCATGCTTTCCATGTGCTTTGCTCTCCTTGTGGCTACTGGGAGGATAAATACCATTTTCTGTCAGTGTTTCAGCTGCTTTCTCTCAATTACACTACTTTGTTCCACACTCCTGTCTTTTGTGGGGAGAGGAGTTTCTTTAAAAACTCCAGTGACATATTTTTTCTTTTTAAAATCACTTTCAAGAATTCATCAATTTCAGGCACCCCTTAAAGGAAGAGAAGGTCCAGTTTAGGCTTTCTTCCGTCCTCTAAGACAGTGCAGTGATAACTGACTGCATCTATAAATAGGAGAGGTTTTTTCCCTTTTAAAAGTAATGGTAAAATAAACATGATCAAGCTCTTCTGAGATCTTTCAATTTACCTAATCAGTACTTTTGAACTGAATGATCTTTTTCATGGCAGAATACCATGGAATGCACGTAAATATTCAGATATCCATTGAGAAATGGATCCCTAAATCCTTTTGATATCGGTATTACAAATATGCATGGGTCAAACATATCCTTGGCCAAAATGTGGTCATGATAGTTCCTGCAAAAAGTCCTTTCTAAGTATATATAGATAAAATGCTAATTTCTATATATTTATAAAAATACAGATACAAAGTCTGATCTCAATTCCAAAACTCAATTATTTCCTCATGCAAAATTTTCCAAACAATTTAAAGAGCAGACCTAAGAACTTAACTAAACCAAATATTATCATTACAGCTATGGAATCTTCTAAAAGGATAGATGTAAGAGGCACTAATATTTAATTTCTTCCAGACAGTCCCTTACTCCAGTAAAACTGATCGTTTATTTCAATAATAATTTATTTCAATAGTTATATGATGGAATATTACTCCCTAGTTTCTTCTCTTACAGAATCATGTTCAGCAAGATAGACAGAAGTTCTTTACTTTACAGAAATCTATTGAAATTACTGGATTTCTGCATGGTATGAGTGAGAGCAGAACTCCACTGTTAGCTCATTCTTAACTCGGAAACCTCCACAATTAGATCTAGCTTGATTTAATTCTTCAGGTTTTGTTAGCTCTGGACCCTAATGGACTTTTTAATGAAGAAACAGGTGTGAGTGGTGCGAAATGTAATAAAAATATATGGACTTCAGAAATGCAAATGGCAGTTACTATGTTGCTGTGCATTTATTTCTTAGCTTTTCTGTACCACTGTGTAAAACACGTAAACGCATGTACTGATATTCTTCAAGGCTGAACAGTTCATGAAAAGGAGAGGAAGGGAGTGATAGAAATATTACTTACGCCGTTTGCAGCCACATTTTTTTATCCTTTTGGGATCCGTGATGTCATCATGACAGGCCTTGCAGTAAAAAAATGCCCTAGAGAGACAGAATGGAAAAACTGACACATTTCTTAATCCATACAAATGAAATTAGGCCCACATTTCCTCTTGTTGCAGTGCCAAATTAATGAAACATGCCAGCACTAGTTTCCTTTAATCTTTGAAAAGGTTTGGGCATTTAAAGTAGGAAGTATTTGCTGCAAGACCATTAATTGCAAACATAAGACTCCAAATTAGTGTTTCTTTCAATATACTTTTATTTGAAGAGTAATTGGGAGGATGATAATTATGACACAGTATATTAGTTCATTTGTCTTTCATCTTAGAAAAAAGAGCATCCAATGAATTTTGTCACCAAAAAATATATATATAATGAATTCGCTGTTCTTATCAGATATACCAGATTTTTTTTTTTTTTTTTTTTTTTAAAGACTGTCTATCACCCTGGGCCAATTTATCAGCCTGGTCTCAAGTAGGACTTCATTTTGGATACAATGAGAGACTGAAATGAGATCAATGTGACAATAACATCAGATATGCTACTTATCAAAAAAACCCAACCAAAACCAGAAAGGGAAAATCCTATCAAAATAAGTTCCTAAAGGAACATATAAATGAAAGAACTGAAATAATCTTGATTCAGACTATTTTTTTGTCTTTTATATCGGAATAGAGCAGAACCATTTTAGTTTTGAACAGACAAAAGCCAAAATTTAAAAAAAAAAAAAATACTCAATTCAGGGTGAACCATCTAGGTTTCCATTTAGTGCTTTTGGTTATGAACTTCTACTTTTGTATCAAATGGCTCACCACTAGGTGAAACACAAGGAGAACTAAGGAAGTGAGAAAGGGTAAACATTTGACTTTATATAAGATTAAAACAAAAGTCCAATTTAATAAATACGCATCAGACTGTCCACAGGAGAGTTTAATCATGCCTGTCAAGTCAACATGTCACGTAAGGTTGCTGTGACACATTTCATGAGGATCACCCAGCTGCCCTCTAGCTGGACAGCTACAGTTTCTCAGGATTCTTGCTGGCATAACAAACTAAACATACTTTTTAACCTGCTGAAATTTCCCTGTACTTATCCATACACAGGATTTGTCTGCTCCGTGCCTATCTTCTCAACCCTCTCTCATTGCATACTTCTCAACACAAACTGGCAGTAAGAACTAAAGGTGCCACTTTGCAACCACCCATGGATTTTGCTGACAGTTCTGTTCACAGATTTAGGGTGGTTGGATTGCTACAACAGTATGGGGGTCACCGGAACAGAACAATCTACAGTCCAAAATATAAAAAGAAAAATAAACAATATTAATACACAGCCTCTAACAGTTCAGCTAGGATGACTGCTACTAATTCTTTTTAGATTAATTAGGCAGTGTCCACCACAGGTGGAACTATATTAAAGGAAATGTTGAGAAATATGAACTAGATACCTAATTCAAATAGTTACGGATTTCTCTAAGTTATTTTACACCTCTGAATAATGGCCCAGGTAAAGTGGCCCATCAGGAGAAAGGTAGCAGGTCTAGCATATGAGATATGGACCAGAGAATACAAATTTAAATTTGCAGTAAGACCTCACTGAATGTTATTAAAATTTCTAAAATCAAGATAGCGTGCAAGCTACTGATGGAAGATGTAAGTCCTAAACGTAGCAGACCTAATTTCTCTAAGAAACTTCTAGGAAGATTACTCTTTCAGACTGTGAAATTGTCTTACTATTTCCAAGAAGCAAAATGTAAAATGAAAAAGCCTTCTCTGAGCATTTGTACACTTAGCTGCAGAAAATTTCTGGTCTTCAAAATATTCAAGTTCCAACAAAAAGAAAACAAACTGCCTCCAAGGAAATGAGAATAAAATATTTTTCAAACCATGAGTTGTTGTCAAGACATAAGCAAGGAGGAGAGAATTGCCTCCAATTTTTACAATTTCTCCCCAATCCAGCTGTAAGCCCCCGTATTGAACAAGAATCCACTATCACAAATATTCCCTCACAAAACTTCATGACATGAATTGGAGATAGGTCATTTCTACAGATCATGTTCCTGAAGTCCACTGCAGGACAAATGTCCTAAAGAGTACCTTCAATCCTATGTGCAACGTCAAGAGCAAACGCCTGAAGCGATTGCTGTAATAAAATTATCCTTCTATAAAATTGGGTTGAATTAAGTAGATTGGATTTGAAGCATGTGGATTTCTGATGTTAGTACTAACATGTAAATGAATAAAGAATAATAAAGATGCAATTCATATAGTTTGCATTATATTTAAACAGTCAACATTTTACATGAAGCTATTTACCTAGGCATAATTGTGTCTATGTATAATTGTTTCTAATGTGAAACTATTGTTCTAAAAATGCAAAAGTCGTTCTACAAGAAGAGTAATTGAACATTGCATGTTATATTTCACTGTGAAATGTATATTTGGTAAATATGAATAGCTTTAGCTTAAAGGAGGTGAAATTTATCCATTAGCATGTAAACAAAACCAGAATAATTTAATTTGCATTTCAGGTATATAACATGTTTAATTTTGCTTTAATAAAAAATCCCTTTTTTCCCCTCCAAAAGACCTCAAAGTTAAAACAGTTTTCTCATTGATTCAGAGCTGAAAAGGGTGAAATCAACACTTTACATAATTGGTTTTGTTAGTTGAAACACATCTGATAATCATGTGCTTTGCACATAACAGCTAAGAAATGTGGTAAGGGAGGCAGCATGTTTCTAAACAAAGCCTTCTGCAAAAAACAAGGCAGAATTGGGACTTTTGTCACGTGCTAGGTGAATGATGTCTAACTTTTCTCTAAACACATTAATAGCAGTCAACTTCTGCCTGTTAAAAATGCTATGCCAGGTAATCTTTACTCACAGTCTGAAATAATTTCATAGGAGAGGGTAAAATGCCTTATAAATGAAAAAAGCTAGCATCTCAGTAAAGGAATGTGAAGACAGTTCTGTAGATTCAAATGGAGAAAAGCACCAGAGAGGAAAAGAGCTATACGCTGAAAGGCAGCACACCTGAGGCAATGCTGGATGCAAATACTCCAAAGATGGTGCTAGAAATATGAGAGGACAGGAGCACTGGTGTGCTTCACCTAGCCAAAAACTATCTTAGCTATATGAACAACAATAGAATTCAAGTTCTCGGTGATTTCACTGTTTTGATGCTTTGACTCTTTAAATATTCATGGCAAACATGCATTGCTTAAATATTATTTTCACTGTAATTTAATCATAAAAAGTTTAGGACTTAGTAAAGGTCATCACTTGAATATTTCATCATTCTAAGTATAGGATTTAGTTAAAGTGTCTATCTCAAGGAGAACATCAAGTAAAAATCCGATTCTTGATAGCATGACTTACAACAAAAATACAAATTATGAGGAAGCACTCAGCTGCAAGTATTCCTTTTCTTATTTTTTTTTAAATCTTACAGACATGGAATAATTATTTCTTTTAAAAATTATTTTCTCACATTGCTATTTTATTCCTTCCAAGCGTATTACAATCCTAACAAGCAAGAGTACACGTTTGGTCCTAAACACAATACCATAAAACCCTTTTCATTCAACCCAAATCTAATACGGCCAAGTACAACGAACCAATGAAGTTGTCTACAATGGTTGGGATATACTGCACTGTTGTAGTTGATTTATTATTATAAGGTCATAGAGTATGTAGTTCCAGTAAAGAAAAATGACAAGAACATAAATATTATTCTGCTAATGCAATTACCGAATGAACACAGTAGCTTGCTCACATCAAATATTTGCTGGTCCATGTAAATAAGAACTACTCTAAACCTGAAGCTCGGACAAAACTGTAATCCCTGTCCTCTCTCAAAGTAATTCCACTGAGACAAATTAATTAATGAAATAAAAATATTTTACATTGTCTAGTAGGACTCAGAAAAAAAGCCTCATTTCTTTTCACATCTGCTGTAGAATTATTTAATTTCCTTGATATTTAGGACTGTAGTTAAGAAAATGGCGTGCACACATGGTTGGTTCACTAGAGTACCAACTCAATTCCCCCTGATAATCTTTAAACAGTTAATAACGAAAATTAGGTGACGTGTTTACATGTAAAGAAAAAACAGAAGTTAAATACTATATGTTTAAATTTAAAGATAAAAACACATGAATTACCTTTTTACTTCTTTGGCATCACTTGCAATGAAGAATCCTAAAGTACCTTCTTGAATCTTGACATGGTTTCCAGGATTGATTAATATACTGCTCAGTGAAACAAGAACAAAAACAACAAAACCATAAGTTTAAATTACTGTTAACTGAATGTTCCAAAATAGCTTTATTTGGTTCTGTTATAGGGGACCCACTAGTTAGGAAAGGCTGCAAGGAAATTTTAAGCCACTCTTCCTTGAGACTTCCAATCAAATAACAGTTTCACGTGCTTTTTACAAAACCTTAAGTTTGAGACAGTCACATGCCTCCACCTATAATCACATCATTTAAGTGTTTACATCTGTTTTCTTACATTTTTGCATTAAATATAGACTATACAAAATAACAAAGCCTTTCAGAAACGTGATGTGTGAAGCTGAGCATTTCAGCTTTCTTGCTCTGTCATGCCAAGTGGTGACAAATTCACGATATGGTGAAAAGGGAAGAACCAGCAACCACCACTCAATAACAATACAAAATACTATTTATGAAGCTAAACCCTTTGATGCAAATTTTTGCCAATTTCTAGTGAAATAGAATGTTAATGGGACCCCTATCTGGACATGTAATATTATTTTTTAAAATAATAAATGCACACATACACTCAAGGGGAATGGTACAAGACAACCAGTCACGAGAGCTGAAAAAACATAAAATGAATAGAAAATTTTTAAAACACTGCTATGCAGCCATGGAAGAACAAAGATAACCCAACCACACTGACAGAATAGCCTCAACTAAATTTGATGAAGGAAATTATAAACGGCTATCAAGAAGTGAGGCACTCCATGTCTCTCTACGAAATATCTTTTTTAGTGTCATAATAATTTAGCACTAGATTTTAGGTAAGGCAATTTGCAAAGTACCAAGCTAAATATGAATATACAGATAGAGATAGATGTAAATATATTCTCCAGTAAGTTTTATTAATGTGTAATACAACTAAGCTTTTGGCCTGCTAAAACTTAATAAAGCTTGTCAAAGGTTCTCTCTTTTTTGCCTTTTATTAAAGCTTAGACTTTGTAAGTCAAAATGTAGTAATGGCACACGTACGCAATCTACAGTAAATAAAGACTACCAGCAATTTAAATGCTTGCGGATTTAGCGAAAATTGATTTTGGGGAAGTATATATATACAAAAATAACTAAAGCACATTTCTGAACAGACAGACATTACTAAAATTTGAAGGCCAAAAATCTTCCATGTTATTGTTAGGCGGGAAAATGGGTCTCAGCAGATCTCTTATTCAAGATGTTATTTATTATCTATACATTAATAATAAACTAGTGTGACAAAAACTCTACCTGAAAGCTTTATCATGAGCACATTGTTTTGTGTGATTGCACATGCCCACAAGGCCCTATGAAAAGAGTATGCAGGCTGCAAAATAAAGCGCTCACGAGTTAAGAATTAAAAGGTTGATCATGCAGCCCCCGTTATGTAGACGTTATGATACAATTCTTAATTTAATAGCCACAAACTACTTTTTTCTCACAATCTGGAACTTCATTCAGTGGTGTTTTACTGCCATTACTCCAGACATGGCTTCATGTAGTTTATCTTTCTTTAAAATCAGCATCACATTTTTCATATGTGTTTTTCTGCAGTGTTCATCACTACAGCATGCAAAAGATTCACAAATACATAGTTTATTTTACAAGAAGAATGAAGATATAGTATTATCCCATTTTACAGATGAAAGATTAAGTCACTATGAGATACAGCAGCTATTAATTTGGGATGCCTACAGGCCATTTTTTGTAAGTATTTAGCGTTGCATAGCTCCATATACACCTCGCAGGGACTTCTGCTGCAAGAATGCTCAGCATTTCCAAAAGCCCAGCCCCTGGTTCCCAAAATAATAAACACTTAATCAGAAGTCACCTGTAAAAGGTTTGGTTTAAATTATTAGCTCGCTCTCACACTGCTATTCTGTGGCAGAGGCTGGAACAGAAATTAAATCTCAAAGAAAGCATCTACTCAGATATCCTTCCTTTTCCTTCATTCACAGTTTCAAGCTTTGCAACAAAAAGGAGAGGAGAACTACAGAAAATGGAAGTCACCACCACAGAAAGCAGGTTCATCCCCACAGCACACTTCAGTAGTATTGCAAAAAATGAAATGTGATGGTGCACATAACACCTACATTATGCACGCAGATAAATGGGATGAATTAAAGTTGCACAGCTAAACTTCACATCTGGCATTTCTTTTGTCAGTGTATTGGGCTTAATGGTTGCGCTTGCAACCAAAACATTTACCTAATGCGGTTTTAAAATGCAATTTCACAGGTTTTAAAATGGAATAAAACAGACAGGAAAAAAGCCCAACAACCCCACAAGAATTTCTTCATATGAAACCAGTCACTCAAGCCACAAACAGGTCGGAAGATTTAGATTCCCTGCACAAACTTTTGTCACTTGAGGCAACAGAGCACTTACTAGCTGCTACAGAGCTACCTTAACAGGCCATCACTAAGGGAGATGAGACATACACTCTACCAGTACACTCAGAAAAAAGTTGGGAATGGCCTACCTTAAGCCTGCGAGCCTATGTGAGCCTAGATAAGTCACTTCTCAAGAACCAGGAGAGAATCTTTCTGCAACTAGCTCTCCAAAGTCTTTCTGCCAAAACTTTCTATCATGTCCGTAACTGCATCCGTGTCTCAGTCTCTACCTTTCCTCTTCCCTGTCTGCTAAATTCTGCCACTGTGCTGAGAATTTAGCTGTTAAACTCAAAAATCTTCCACTGATACTAGTCTCATTTATTTCTACTATACTGTTCCTTCTAAAATACGCAAAGACTTGTAACATGGTTAGGGTTGGCTATTTTTCTTAGGTACAAATGGGTACTGCTCTGCCAGAAAAATACTTCTTTTGCCTTTATTTCGTTCTTTGCCCTTAATCATGAAAATATTACATACAGCTTTTCAGTGAAGACAGCTGAACGCATTTCTTTACATAGACCCACCTTTTTTTTTTTTTCCTCATCCCATTCTTGGAGATAGATAAACCATACCCAAACAGTAAAAAATCCTACCAGAAGCTCAACAACCCGAACTCCACAAGCTGAGGTAACCACTAGATATGTAAATGTTCACTCCCCCTCATAGAACTTAAAATTTGACAAAGTAATAAGCAAAGGAAGCAGTTCTTTTAAGAGATAGTGAGCATAATCTTAAATCAGAAGTAACTGGCTTCACTTAGGATGTAATGAATTGTGAGCATGATTTTGTATCTCAAGGTTTTCTGAGACACATGAAATCAATTCAAATGGGTCAGTGTATAGACTTTATTTTTGTCACATCTTATACGTCATTCACATATACTTATTTTCACAAACACAATGTATTTATAGCCACAAAATATAGATGTGATCGCAGTTAATGCAGTATGACCTCAGCAGCAAAATCTTCTGTTGGGAATAAAAATTAATTTGCCCCATCACTGCTATTGGCAAAGAGTTACAGCAAAGGCTCATAAAGCTTTGGGTTTATATACACACTGATATTTAACCAGAACAAAATCATGAGCAACTTCTACTGAGTCTATATGGATTTATTAAATATGCTGCTTATTAAAGCAGCAATTGAATTATTTCTTATGAGACCTGTAGTGTCATTAGCTAAAGTTATGCTTTGGTAAGCACTCACTCTAATATATACAGCAAGGGAAATGTTTTGAAGAATAGAATATAGGGAACAAAGAGGACAGAAAAAAATAAAACAGGCTTTTGAGCATACCAAGAAGAATGCATCCATCAGTTATTTAGAGATGCACGTATCTGTTTAAGCAGCCCATGAAAATCTGCATATATATATATAACCCCACAGTTGAGAAGTACGTGGCAAAGTAAATAGGAGTTTTAAGAGAGAAAGCGTCAGCTAATGTCTCATTTTTATGTATCTCCAAGACTGGGGAGTTTTGCAGATATAGGAAGATGTAGGAAAAGGGAAAAAAAGCACAGAAATTCATTACGTTTAATAGCAATAGATATAGCTAATCCATATGCATTCTGTGCCATGCATTGGAAAAAATGCTGTTGATAATGACACCCCTGATTTTTCCAAATGTTTTTATCATAGAATATAATTTTTTTTAATGTCCTAAATCAGCTCATGAAATCAAGCAGGAAATGCCAAATACTTCAGAAGGTTCTAAGATCTTGATCAAATTTTACAATTTTATAACATTTCTAGTTTAGGTTACCTCAGAAACTAATCAAGTAATAGCAAGCTCAAAAAACTTTTAGTCATAATTTCCTTAACAATTCCAGTTCCAGAAATACATTCCTCAGGACAAAGCTTTTCATGAGAGGGGTCACATGTCACAGCAAAAAAAAAGATTCTCTTTTGACTTGCTTGCTCCTTCACACATGAACATTTAGAACATGTGGCAATTACAGCCATGTAAATTGAATATGCGTAAATTAAATATGATTTAACGTGTTTAACAGAAATCTAATGTACTTCACCAGCATGAACTTAGGAGAAGCCAGTTCCATTACTCTATGATAATACAACAATTTGTAAGCCACTTGTGGAATAGAATATGCAGTTTGGAAACCTCTGCTTTACACTTATCTGACATCTAGCAAAAGTTAGTCCGTTTGCTAAACAAGATTCACTTGGTGACCAGATGCAAGATCATGCATCTAAGAGCAATGAAAATGTCACACATCAAAAATATAGAAATCATCCTTGAATTCAGTTGTGCTCTCAGGAATCATAGAACGAATCATACAATGGTTTGGGTTGGAAGGGACCTTTAAAGATCTAGTTCCAACCCCCCTGTCACGGTAAGGGATATTTTTTGCTATAACAGACTGCTCAAAGCCCCATCCAACCTGACATTGAACACTTCAAGCTCAGGAAAGAATGAGGACAAAAGTGTCTATACAGTTGAAACTGAGTTCCCAGACTGACTGAAATATAAGCAGGTGAAGCACAAATGGGAATTAGTGCACACTGAGATGCACCGTTTAAAAAAAAATGAAAAATTCAAATGTGGTCAGAAAAATTCTAGACGAACGCTTATGGACCTCTTTACAC